AGAAGGGAAGAAAAGATTGTGAAGACAAACTGTTTTCTTTAATCTCTTTGCAGTGAGGGTCTCGAGGAAGAGAATATATAAATAATAGCTGTTCCATGGTTTGCTGTCTGTTGTACAAAGATACTTAAAGGGACACTATAAAACTCTTTAAATTGAAATAGGCCTATCAAAATCTATTACCATCTTTGACAGTTACCTTAGTTCTTTTGCATGACAGAGAAATTACTGAACAACTTTAATTTTGTTTGATTAGGTAAAATTGTCTCTTGAGAACTTGTGACAGATACAGATTATGCGCTGTGTTTTCCTCCTTCTTCATCATTTTTTGGACTGTTGCCCCTGCTGAATGTCTCTTTTCCTCTTCATAGATGCAAGTAATTTCTATCTGTCTTAAAGTCTCAGCTCAAACCTCCATCTATCAGAGCTTTGCTGATCCCCTGGTCTGTAGTCATCTGACTCTAAGAGCTCTATGGCATATAATTAGTACAGTTGCTGGATAAATTTGTTTTTGTTTAATTGTTGCTAAGCCTTATCTCCTAACACCTACAGTAAAAAAGACAATATGCTTATGTTTAATGTTTTTCTAAAGTGGAATATTCTTTTAAGATTCCACTTGGCTTAAGAGAACAAAACTGGAACATCCTACAAACTAGTGCATATAATTTTCCACCAAAGCAGGAATTTGACATAGACCTTCCTTGTTATCTCTTGTCTAAACCATTGAGACACTCAGCATTATCCATAATATTGGAATGATAGTAACACCCACTTTTATCAGTTTGAGATTTGGGTTTAAGTGACAGAAAACACCAAATAGTTGTGGCTTAACCAACACAGAATTTTACTTTTCTTTCTCCTGAAATCCCAGAAACAAGTACAGAGGCTTCTATCTTGTTTCTTTGCTATGCAAGACATTCATTCTCTTGGTCACATCATTTTTTAAGATTGCTACTTCAGTTCCAGCCATCATGCCTTGTTTCCAACCAGCAGAAAAGAGAAAGGAGAAGGACACAGCCTCTTCCTTTCAAGGAGACTGCTCCAAAGTTTGCAAACCACTTTTGCTTATACAGTATCTCATTAGCTATAATTCAGTTATATGGCCAAATTCAGCTGTGAAGGAGGCTAATAAAGAAATAGCTATATGCCTGACTAAAATTCACATTTTATTCCTGAGAAAAATGGGAACAGATTTCTGGGGACCATTCTGCTGATATAGTAAAGATTAAATGAAACAATATATACATTGTAGTTCAAGCCTATCTGATAAATGATATATGCTGAATAAGTATTAACCATCTTTTTGTAATTAACCTTGGCAGTCAACTATTCACTCCACTAATTTGTTCAGTATATATTGGCTACCCTTGATTCTGAATAATGTGCCTCTGTTTAAATCCTTCTATCAACAGCTGAAAGAAAACCATTATCTAAGAAAGCTCAACCTTTGTTAAAAAAAACTCTGGAGGGACATTCTTTATTATATTAGGCTAAAGTTTTCCTCCTTAGTAACTCATATGTCTTGACCCTCATCCTACCTTTTGAAATAATATGAAACGAACCCATTTCCTCATCTCAATTCTTCACATAGGAGAAGACAGCTATCAAGCCTCCCACTTCATTTTCTTACCCTAAACAGACATTTCATATCTCATTATTTACCTAGCACAGAGATTGGTAAGCTTCTGTAATTTTTGCATCTTCTCACCCCTACTTTCTGGTCACTCATTTCTCTAGTCTTAATATATCCCCAGTAAATCTCTAGCTTGGGTATTTTCCTTGACAAGTTCCTTCTTGTTTTGCCATATCCTTAGCCCACATATCCTTTGACCTGTCCCAGGGTAATCCTTCCTTTTTTCTCCTCCACAAGCCTGCTCACACACAAAAAACAAGAATCCCCTTTTATATCCTTTTTCTCAGAGGATTTTGATCTTTCTTTACTGCTTCAGGTTTTCTTAGGCAACAGATTAACAAACACTATAACTCTAATCCTAACCTAACAACCAATATAATTCTAATCCAACTAAGCCATTGACTTCTTTTAAAGACGGTCCAGGTCTGCCCAAGTGGGAGTAGGTAAAAAAATAATGCATATTGAGGCCAACTACTGTTGACATATAAAATGTGTATGTTTCATCTCTATATTATAGATCCTTTCTGTAAAAGTTATACTTTCTGTTTAACTTAAGGATGATAATTTAACCATTTCATAGTCATGCATCTGAGATTCAAGACATTGATTCTACCTATAGAATTGTGCTTAAAGTCAGGTGAATCTGGTAAGGGGAGTGTGTCCAGCTGGCAAAAGTAAATTCAGTACCATACTATTGAATTTACTGTTGAACTTTGATTGTTGTCTCTCATCTAGACATTTGCAAGGCATAGAATAACAAACATTTGCTCTGAATTGGTAATTAAAAGCATTTACTTTACAACCTTATGTAGTAGGGGACTTTATTTTTATTTTACAGGACAGAAAAATCCCAAAGTGGTTAAAATATTTGCTGCAGATGCCAGACCCTAAGTCTAACTGTTTTTCTTTATGGCAGTTCACACTGCCCTTTCTTGGAAAGTACACTCCAGGGGCTGGAGATTTAGCTCAGCGGCATAAGCGCCTGCCTTGCAAGCAGGCAGTCATGAGTTCAATCCCCAGTACCGATAAAAATGAAAAAGACAAAAAAAAAAAAAAAAAGTATGTGGAAAGTACACTCCGCCTCTTCATCATGTAGACTCTTACTTGTCTATAAAAACAGCTTAGCCATCAACTTGTCAAGGAAACGCACTCTGGAAAATACCATCACCCTGTCCTTAACCATCTGATTGAGGTGTGCTTCATCTGTGTTAATGCACATTACAATCCTGTTTGCATGGTACCTCCCTGGTGATTTATTAGCTCATGAAGAAAGCAAAGGCAAGATCCTTCCTCATTTAATTTTGTACCCAGCAAATATTTGTCGAATAAAGGAATGGTCTGAGATGAAGCCAAGTCCAGTGCTCTAGGGAGTCAGCTCACTTGATGATGTTCATTCCTGAATACAGCTGGAGGCAAAACAAAGATCACTGATTCAGCATACTCTATATAACCCTCAGCCTTCCAGAAACATGCTCATTAAAGAATAAACTGCTCCCAACAGCCATGGGACTGTTCATACATCAGAAACCCAAACCCGTGGAGTTTCAGCCTAGCTAGATTTGAAAGCAGCATAGTCTTGTGATTAAGAGAGGAGCTTCTGAAGCCGGGCCTCTTTCTTTTGAATTGTGACTCTGACTTTTTCCTAGTAGTTGTCTTAGTCTTTCTGTGCCTTGATTTCTAATCTTCTGCATGAAAATAATGACTTATCTATATTAGTTATCTATCATTGCATAACAATTTTCCCCCAAAATGTGGCTTAAAATAATATACATTTATTATTTCACATTTTCTGTGTTGAGGAATTTGGAATGGGGCTTATGTAGCTCAGGGTCTCTCATGAGGTGGTTGAGATGTTAGCTGTATCTGTGATCATCTGAAGCCTTGATCAAGACTAAAGGGGCCAATTCCAAGGTGACACACTCATGCGGTCATTGACAGGAGTCTTTAGTACTTGTCACAGAGACCTCTCCTTTCAGTGTGGCAGCTAATTCCCTTCAGTACAAGGAGGGTCTAAATGACTTTTTTTTTTTAACCTATTCTTTGAAATCTACATTGTTATTTCTGCTACATTCTAAGTTAGAAGAAGTCACCACATTAATCAGTTTTCTACTGCTGGGACAAATTACCCAACTTACAAAATTATAGGAGAAAAGCTTTGTATTATTATTATTGTCTTTTTGAGACAGGGTTTCACTATGCAATTTAGGCTGGTCTTGAACTCACTTTGTAGCCCAGGCCGGCCTCGAACTCACAGTGATCTTTCTGCCTCAGCCTCCTAAGTCTGGGATTACAGGTGGGTGCCACCACACCTGGCTGAAAAACTTAATTTTAGCTCACAATTTCAGAGGTTTTAGCCCGTGGTTGGCTCGTTCCCTGGCAGATGTGTCATGGGAGAAGAATGTGTTGGTGAAAGCTGCTCACTTCCTACCAGCTATGAAGTAGAGAAAGCAAGGAGTCAGAGACCAAGAAAGGGGCTTAAGATAAGATACACCCTTCAGAGGCATGCCTTCAGTGACCTGTTTCATCCACCCAGCACCTTTCTTCTGGCAGCCCATTCAAGTTGTAAATATGTCAGTGTATTCATCCGTTAATGAATTAGTTTCCTTATGATCCAGTCACCTCTTTAGGCTCCACATGTGTACATTGCTGCATTGGGGATCAAGCCCTTGGAGGCATTTCATATTCAAGCCATAACAGTCACTAAATTCAATCCACATTCAAGGGGAACAGAATTAGGATCCACATTTTGAGGAGAGGAATACAAAAGAATGTACAGACAGATTTAAAAGGTATCACTTTCTCCTTTTCATTTTCCACAGTTTGAATTTTTTACTCTATAAAGTATCTGTAAAGGTAAAAAAAACTTTTGCAAAGAAATACAACCAACCCATCAACCAACCAAACAGGAAAACCAAGTTGAAAAGATTAGGATGCTGAGCTAGGACATTGCGGCTCTGTGAAGAATGTGATTGGCAAGGTGTTCTCTGACTCTTCAGAGTAGTTTGAAGACCTGCATATATTGGGAACAGGTGTTCCTAAGGGGACATATCTGTAAGAGAAGGGTCAGTGGTAGCTTTTCGGAGAAGAGGCTGCGGAAAAACCAGGGGAAAAGGTATACATCTGCATAGCAGAGAACAAAGGAAAGGTGGTGCTGACAACAGAGCATGGCTACTGAGCTGAGAGGAATGGTCTGCTCCTGATGGGACGTGCTGATCTCATAGTACATCCTTTATGATTTAAAAATGGTGTATTTTGGGAGGTGTAGTAATAGTGCTTAACGATGTTTTGTAAAATATTTAAATCTACCATTGTGTTTGTTTGTCTCATTTGGTTATTTTTGTTTTGTTTTGTTTTGTCTTTTTTGAGACAGGGTCTTGCTATGCAGTTCAGGCTGGCCTTAAGCTCACTTTGTAGCCCAGGCTGGTCTCGAACTAGCAACAGTCCTCCCTCCTCAGACTCGCGAGTGTTGGGATTACAGGCGTGAGCCACCATGCCCAGGTACATTTGTTCTTCTTTATATACTTTTTTTGGTCTTTTTCTGGCTTTTTAAATTGATTGAATTTTTATACTTTTATTAACTTTTTTGGTCTGTTACCTATATCTTTTTAAAAAGTGTTCCTTTACAGTTTACAGTATGTATCTGTAACTTACCATAATCTACCTTTATTTTTGGTCTTTTTTGAGCCTGAGTCTCACTATGCAGTTCAGGCTGGCCTTGATCTCACTTTGTAGCTTAGGTTGCTCTCGAACTCTGAACACCCCTTCTGCCTTAGCCTCTTAAGTGCTGAGATTACAGGTGTGTGCCACCACACCTGGCTCACAAACTACCTTTAAGTAATCATTTTAATAAACTTACAGGAGTATATAGATATGTTTTTGTCTCTTGATCTTTGTGCTAATTGGTTATACATTTTACCTCTGTATCTGTTAACAATGTCACAATATGTTAATTTTCTTTAAGTGGTCAACTATCTTAAGATCATAACTGTTATTAAAATAAGGAAAAATGTGGTCACTCACATATTTAATGTTTTTGAATTCTTTATTCCGTTACATAGACAAGGTTTCTATCTGGCATTTTTCTTCTGATAAAGGATTTCCATTATCATTTCTTATAGTGCAGGCTGACTAATGATGACTTCTCTCAGCTTGGTGTGTTATAAAAGTTATTTCATTTTCAAAAGATGTTTTTGCTCTGTGTAGAATTCTAAGTTTTAACATTTTTTCCTTTAATACTCCAAAGATTTGTTCCACTTGCCTCTGGCTTGCATTGTCTCTGATGAGAGGTATGCTGCTGTTCTTGTTTTTGATGCTCTTTGTTTAGTGTCTTGTCTTGCTTCCTTGGCCTCTCCGAAGTCTTAATTTTTCTCTTCTGCTTGGGTTCCACATGAGTCCAGTTCACTGCCTGTGACCTGGAAGCTCTCTAAACGTAAATTAGATATTTATAAGATTTTAATAATTTTTTCAGAGATCACTATTCTGTGTTACTTTTTCAATATTTGAAAACCATTTTTTCAAACTACTGTTTTTTAGTTATTTAAGGTGAGAGAAGTTGGTTCCTGTTGCTCTTTTTGGCTGGAAGCAGAAGCTTTGAAATGTTAAAATAAAAAGCCTAAAATATTAAACTGATTTTTTATTACAAGACTTCTTTTTTTTTTTTTTTTTTCTGGTACCAGGGCTCGAACTCACAATCTCTACTTGGCCAGGCAGGTGCTCACACTACTGAGCTAAATCCCTGGCCCCTGGAAAATTCTTAAAATTGACCTGTAGTTTATACTATCTTAGAATTAGAAAGCTTATTTTTAAAAATGTGTTTAATGCTAGTGTTTAACATTATTCTTTTTCTTGCAGGCAATGGGAAAAATTCAAGCTGGAATTTTAAATTATTGGAAGTTAATAATGAACCAGAAGTTGCAGAATGCAATTCTGAATAAAAATCTTCAGAAATTTTTCTTCAAACAGCAGAGGAAATAAAGTTAATCTATTTTAAAACTTTAAGTTAGACTAAAATATTCATGATAGGAATTATACTGGCAAAAATTTTTGTAGCTCTTAATGTACCTGGATGAAAAGAGTTGTCACTTTGTTTCTCAGAAGGACCTATATATCTCTGAGGTTATATTAACAATCAGTCATTTTATAGAAATCTTGACATGATCACCAAGGACGACAAACGGAGCTGAAGACTGTGTATTGGTCAAGATGACTTCTGAAGAAATGGCAGATTCTGTTCTCATCCCTGTGACTCAGAGAAAAGTGGTGTCTGCACAGTTGGCTACAGATGAAAGTAGTGAAAAAGTCTCAGACATCAGTATTCCAAAAGAACATACTGTCAGGCAGAGTGTGCAGACTTTGACCACTGTCTCACGGTGGAACAAATTTAAAGAAGTGTCTTCTGGAAGCAGCTTGCCCAAGGTTCTCTCTGTAGCAAAGGAGAAAATAGTGAATGATGAAAACAGCAATGAAAAGTGCTACAGGACAAGCATACCGGATTCTGTAAAAAACCTTAACATTGACTGCAACAGCATATTTCAAAACCATCAGCATGGCCTTCTTCAGAGCCAGTTTTATGAAACACGCAACTCTGTCTTGGAGGAAGAAGACCTGTGTCTCAAAACTGGATTTCCTTCTCCACTGGAAGGAAAGGTATTCTCTGGAATCCACCTGGAAATAGATGGACCTTCCATAGACATCAGTCCTTTAGGAAGTTACTCTGAGATTACAGAAAACAGCACAACACATCCTGACAGCAACATGGCAGTATTTCACTTTCATTATGAAGTTGACAGAGTGTCAGACACTTTTCAGACCCTATCCAAAAACTTGATTTTGGATGACTGTGGGAATTGTGTATCGCTTCCTGAGGGGGAACAAAAGAAACATTATGTGGCATATACTCGCAAACTGATGGAATTGGCAAAGAACTGTGATAATGAGAATGAGCAGCTGCCGTGTGATTGTGGCACCTTAAATGACAAATACCTGTGCTATGAAGGCTCTTGCCAGAAGGTGAACATGCTATGTTCAGGTGATCGCTTTTGCAGGGAGGATTTTACTGACAGTTCACCTGCCAAGACTTTTTTGAGCCATTTTGAAAACTGCTCTGATAATTGTGAAGATGTAGAAGATTTTTTTAAAAGCAAAAAGGAGCGGTCCACTTTGTTAGTGAGGAGATTTTGTAAAAATGACAAGGAAGTGAAAAAATCTGTGTATACCGGGACAAGAGCAATCATGAGAACTCTGCCTTCCGGCCACATTGGGCTGGTGGCTTGGAATTATGTTGATCAGAAAAGAAATGGTCTCTTACTGTCTTCTGAAAAAGCAGTGGAACCTCTGTCAAGGCTGGACATAAGACGGGGTGGGAGCCAATGTCTGTCAGTAGTGCAGTGGTACCCGGTAAGAATTCAAGTTTCTTTTCATCATTTCTTTAAACTTAGTCTTTTAAAATCTAATTTTCCTTGTATTAGTTCATAAAAAATATTCAGATCTATCAAATTATGATTCTTATGGGAAGTATTTATAGCTGTTGCAAAATAGATACACCAATTGATAGCAATCAAGATTGAATCAACTCTTCAACAATGGGAGTAACAGAGGAGGAATTTGGGAGATTTCCTACTAGTAGAAAATGGCTCTCTTCCTTCTTTGTCTATGGAGACATAAGTACCTGAGTCCTTTTCTGGTGTAGTTGTTATTTTTAGGTTTCCAGACCTAACAAAACGTTTTCCAACCAATAGTCTTTGTCTCAAACATTTTTGTGCCATCAACCCTTTTGGCAAATTAATGAGTTCTAATTTTTTTTAAAGGCTAATGCTTTTAAATACAACAAATAAAGCAGAAACCATTATAAAGGCTAAATTATATAAATATGTTAATATTAATCAGATATAAGATTCTTAAATTGTGATATTATTCACAACCTAATAACAATACAGTATTTGCTGATATAATATCTATTGTAATTTCAAAGCAATGATAAATATAAGTAGGAAATAGTTTGCTTGAGACTTTCTGAATTTTTGCAGAACAACTCCCACATCCTGGGAAACCCCTCATTCCTGGGCAAATTAGGGCAGTTGGTTGCCCTAAATATTAATAATATTTTAGGATAACTACTGTTGTAGTTTAGGATAACAACTGTTGTGTGATGTGGGAATATTTTTAGTATCTCTTGGTGGCAAAATCTCAGTTACTGCTGCTTCTACTGAGGTTTATTGTCTATGTTCATAATTAAAGGAAATACTAAGTTTCCATTTGAGAATAATGAAAATCCTCATTTTTCAATCCTTCTCCAGATTTCCAGGTCTCCTGAATTCTAGCTATAGTCCACTTTCTTTCCAGTTAAGAATTTTATACCCAAAATACATCTGATCAGGCTACCAGCACTTGACCTGATCCTCACGTCTGAAGGCAACACTGTACCATTTACATTCCCACTTGTTCTTATCTTTGCTAAACATTTCTGCTTCCTTTAGCCACTCTATGTGGCATATTTCTACAACTGTCACATTCCTTGCTGGGCTTGGTGCACACAGCTGGAGCTTTAGCACTTGGGAGGCTGAGATAGCAGGATCACCTTCTACCTCACGTAACTCTGGTTACGTGTCATAGTATCCAGGCCCCACCAAGACCCTTTGCATCACAAGCTGCGGTCAGACACAGCTTGAATTCAAGGCCAGGCTGGGCTGCATAAGTGAGTTCAAGGCCAGCCTACATACTGCACTACATACTGAAACTTTGTCTCAAAAACAAAACAAGTAACAAGAAAACAAAACAAAAAAACTCACATTCTAGTGCTTCACAGTTCCTTTGAAGCCTGGTCTTAGAAATAAACAATATTTAAAAATTCCTTTTTTGGAGATAATTGGCACATTTTCACTTTTATCATTATCATAGTCATCAGCCATGTAATGAACATTTGGCATGTACTGAATATTGGGCTAAATAATTTATGTACTTACTGCGTGCAGTGCTCTCAACTACTGAATGATGTTGGTGTAATTGTTAACCTCATTTTATTACTAGGAAAACTGTCTCTGGAAAGTCTTGCACCTTGTCCAAGGTCATTTAGCTGATAAATGGCATAACTGGCATTGAAATCCAGGCAGTTTGCTTTTATGGAGTTTCTCAAATCCAGGAAGAAAAACAGTTGGAGTAAAGCTTTCAAAGGAGCAGAGATCTCTTATCCATATCGACATGTTGATTGAGTTGATGCTTGCGGTGTCTCAGACTTGGCTGTGTTAGACAGTGTGATTCTTCTTTTTTGTTTATTTCAAATTCATTTTATTTCAAGCAATGGTGTGATTCTAACTCTGGTTACATGTTATAGTATCCAGGCCCCACCAAGACCCTTTGCATCACAAGCTGGGGTCAGACACAGCTTGAATGTTACTTCATAGTTCTCTTAGTGAATTATGGATCCCAAGGAGTTGAGAATCAGTGACTAGGGTTGAGGGTTTAGCTCAGCAGTATAAGTGCCTGCTTGGCAAACATGAGGTCATGATTTCGATCCCTGGTACCAAAAAAAATAAAAAAAATAAAAATAAAAAGAGAGAGATAATCATTGATTAGGAACTTAAATTGAGCTCAGCACCCCTATGATATGTTCTTGTTCTATTTTCTGGTTATTTCACATGTTCTACCTGGTTCCCTAGTTAGATTTTAAACTTCATAAGGGCAAGTTCTGATCCCTGTATTTTTTTGGTCTTCATAAGTGTAATGCTAGTTCTATAGAAAACAAATGCAATTTCATGATTAGAAATGGTGTCTCTGGGATTAGTCAGTCTGATTTTAAATTGTAACTTGACTGCATCGCATATTGGCAGGTTGTTAAATCTCCTATTTATCTTGGGGATAATAGTGTTGTTATGGGGACATTAAATGAGTACTGCCCTCAGCACAGTTCCTGTGAGCAGTGAGCCCTATTCTTCTCACTTTGGCCAATTGTTACCTGCTTTGTGGGGGGATCATTTCTATTTCCTTCTAGTCTTTGGTGGCATCTCATTCAGGAATGTTTGCAGCAGTGTGAATTTGAATGTAGTTAGTTCTCCATATCTGTAGATTTTGTAATCACAGAGTCAACCAATGCAGATCAGATATATTCAGGGGAAAATGTATCTGCTGTGAACACGAACAGACTTTATTTCCTTGTCATCATTCCTTATATGATGCAGTGTAACAACTATTAATGTAGCAATTGCACCATATTATCTATTGTAAGTGATCTAGAAATAATTGAAAATAAAAGGGAAGATATGTATGGGCTATTATGTACCATTTTTCTTGCTTTATCATTTATCTGCACTTAAATATCTGCAGTTTTGGGGCTTCTAGATCATATCCTGTAGGCATACCAAAGAATGATTTGTCCAATTAATTCTTTGGCCTCATGCTTTAATTTTTTTTCTTGAATGCCTTGGTCAGAATGGTCCAGTGAAATTATATTTTCACAGCTGTGTAGAGAAAAGTGGATTTGAGTGAAAGACATTAATTAGGATTAATGCTTGCTGACTAACTATATTGGTATCCTCCTCCTCTTGCTAGTAAAAAAATTTAAACCTCACCCCTTATCCAGTTACACTCATACTCCCTCTCTCCTGCTTTCAATTTTTTGGCTTAACAATGTAGAATATTTTGGCAAGTGGCTGAAGTTTCCTGGCTAAGGACTGATTAGAGGTGTTTATCTTTTTTGAAAAAAAATTTTTCCCTGCTGAATTTTAGAGTTTAGAGACTTAACCTGAAATTTCAGTTCATGTTGCTGCTCCTGCTGCCAGACTCTTTCATGTAACCTGAGTTCCGTGTGTGCTGAGGTTGGACTCCCAGAAAGCAGCTGTGAAGACTCCGGAAGAAATTCTGTTAGCTCCTTTTATCCCTCTTTCTTAACCCGCAAGAGAATTTACTGCAGAAAAGTAAGTATGCCAAAATAGAGGACAAGAATTTCAGATTGAACAAAAAACAAAGAATAAAAATGAAAAGAATAAATCAAAACATAAAGAAAAAGAATAAGAATTATGTTTTTAAAAAAACTGAAGAGAGAGGTCAAAACCAGCTTCTGTATTCTGCTTTCTTCCTTCTAAAATGTATCTTTATGGTATATTATTTACTGTTAAGCACAGAAAATTAAACTTAAGAAGAAATTATTTCTGAGTGTTGAACAATATCTTTGTTGTTATATGTGTCCTTGGCTTATTCAAATTGAAAATAGCTCAGTTTTAGGAGATACAATGCTTTGGTTTGTTAAAAGGACCCATTGATAATAAATTGATTTTCTAAGTTATAAATTTTATGAATGAACAATTATCCACCGAGCCCTGTTGTCCAGTGCCTGTAAGAAATGGCTGTTGAAATAATATGGAAGCTGGGCATGGTGGCAAACACTTGTAATCCTAGGATTTGGGAGGCTGAGGCAGGAGGATCATTGTGAGTTAGAGGCTAGCCTTGGCTATAGAGTGAGTTCTAGACCAGCCTGAAATAACATGTCTTGTTTTCTGGTTTGGAAATTTGGTTGCCTGGGAGCTCAGGGACAGTTTGGATCTTGAAATAATTAAAATTTCATGGGATGCTTAGGCTATACTGTGCTTGGTGAGAGGTGAGGCTGCCTCTTTCATTATCGTGGGTTTTCTTTAGTTTACTACATGAATGTAGAAGGTGATGGCCTCTTGCTGCTGAGCATGTCAGAGAGAATCCAGGCCCTACACTGCCCCTTGCAGCTCCATCATGCCTGGTGCACCAGGGGAAAATGTGACGGGCTGTCCCAGGCCAGGCCTCTGATGCCTGTACTACTTTCCTTTATTCACTACCTCAGGGCAGTGAAGAATAAACTTACTTCTGTCACTTTGTGATTAAACCAGTTCTTTGGCTAGGATTTAGTAAAGGATGGAATAAAAAACTCTTGGCCTTGGACTCTGGCTTTGAGGTGAATATATTCATGTCTACTCATGTTCTCCTAATAATCTTAGGGCAGTATCAGCATCAGGACTTTTTTGCCTTGATGACCTACATCATAGGAATTAGCAGCTAGAAAAAACCGCATTCCTTAAAAGGGGCCATGGTTAGTACATGACCTGAAAAAAAGAATCAGAGCCAGTTGGCAAGGGCATTTTACACAGGAGTGATTCCGGCTGCCCACAGAATGACCACTGAATAGTGATGAGCCACAGGACCCTCTGTGGCAGCTAATTCAAATATGAAGACTCCTGGGGGCTTATAGCATCTTGGGATAGTGGGAAGGTTTCCATGGTAGAGATCAGATGACTCAGTGTTCAAGGATTTGCAGTTGCAATGTGGGGTTGGGGTTGACTGCCTTCTGATTCCCATGACTAGGCTAATGGTAGCTGAGGCAGGCCCTCCCTGAAAAGCCTTTCTTAGAGAGTGGTGCTGGCCTCATTTTCTCACAC